ACACACACACCCCAGAGCAGGTGTGGAGATGCTGTCCCTCTCTCAGTCTCTGACCCCCGACTGGTTTCACCTTTCACCCCGACACTCCTTTGGGCCTCTTTGATAACTTTCCAGTCCCTCCCCACCTCTGGATGGTGTGTGTGTGTGTCTGTGTGTGTGTGTGTCTGTGTGTGTGTGTGTGTGTTTGTATGCCGTGTTTGTGCACACGCGTGCGTCCCTTTTCCCTGCATGTGTTCCCACAGCATGACCCACCATAGACTTGGAGTTTCTCGGAGGAGGCAGAGACAAAACGGGCTGAATTAAACGTCCTCTGTGCAGCTAAAAGGCATCGATCAGTCAATTTTAATTGGATGTTTCAACAAAGAGAGTCAGGTATTATTTTGGAAAACACAAACGAGTCCAAAACATGCTTTTTTAAGGAAAAATTCAGAGAAAATTTCCAAACTGGCTTTATAAAGCAAAAAATTTAAAGACAATGTATAATTTTATAGCCACCCAAACTGGCTTTTTAAAGGAAAAAAAAACAAAAAACTTATAATCCAAACTTGCTTTTTAAAGGAAAAAATTCAAAGATAATTTATAATCTCACAGCCACCCAAACTGGCTTTTTAAAGGAAAAAATTAAAAGAAAATGTATAATTTTATAGCCACCCAAACTGGCTTTTTAAAGGAAAAAATTAAAAGAAAATGTATAATTTTATAGCCACCCAAACTGGCTTTTTAAAGGAAAAAAATGAAAGAAAATTTATAATCTCACAGCCAATTATCAATAATTTTTTTTCTGGCACTAACCTGTCAAAATTCAGGATTAAAAATTTGTTTTTATCCTTGTGGTATAGAATGGTAAATGGTATAGAATATCTAATATTGGTATCAAATTAAACATTTAAGTATCGTGACAACCCTAGAAGTGTAGAACACCATTAATACAGTGGGGGAAATAAGTATTTGACCCCTTGCTGATTTTGCAGGTTTGCCCACTTACAAAGAATGCAACGATCTATAACTTTAATCATATGTACATTCTAACAGTGAAAGACAGAATCCCAAAGAAAATTCCAGAAAATCACATCATATGAATTTATAAAAATTAACTGATGAGGAAAAACAAGCATTCTTTGTAAGTGGGCAAACCTGC